GGGGGGGGGGGGGGCTATTTGGTTTTTGCATTTGGGTGTAGGCCCCTCCTTTGTATTGGGTTGATGCTCTGTAGAGCCTGGGCCCGCCTTCCTCTTCATGCTTGTGTTGGGCCTTTCCTTTGTGGGCTTCCCGTGTGTTGATTGATTTTCCATTTGCGTAGTATTTGTGTTCGTGCATTGGGTTGGGCTCATGTCATGCAGTGGGTTAGCTTTAGAAGATTACCGGAATGTTTGAGTTTCGAGGAACTTACCGGATATGGCGTCGAACATCGAACTTGGATGTCGTCCGGTTAGGGTGTTTGCTTACCTTTTCTGCTCTGATTCGTTGTTGATCGTTGCTAGGTGGGGGGTCCCTGTTTACGTCTTCTTGGAAAGGAAACAATTTTCCATTCTTCTTCTTCTTCACCATCTGGTTTTGAATTAGATTCACCATTTGGCTTTGAATTTGGGCATTCTGGGTTGTCTTGTGGTGTTGTTGATTGAGTTTGTTTCATCCCGTGGGAACATCCTTTCACTGTGTGCCCTATCCTTCCACATCCCATGCACAGGATATTCTCACCTTCGTAGACCACCGATTGTTTATAGTCTCCTATAGTAACAGATGTTGCGACCGGCGATTCCAAAGGTACCCGAATGCATATTCTGGCATATATACCTCTCAAGGTTACGGAGGTGCACGTATCAATTTTGAGAAGTTTCCCAAGTTTCCTGCCTATCTTTTCCAGGATCTCTTTCGCATAGAATTCGGTGGGCAGTTGGGGGAGACGTACCCAAATAGCTGTGAGGGAGAGGGTCGCCTCATGTGGGAAAAACTTTGGTTCCCATCGTCTGACGGAGAGGAAACTTCCAGAAATGAACCATGGCCCCTGCTGGATAGCTTTTGCCAAGTTTTCCTCCTTACCAAATTTGGCTATGAAGAAATCCCACCCTAAGTCAATCAAAATTAACCGTTCGAATGGGTTCCATAGTTCAATTAATTTGGATCGGAGAAGATAATGTGGCATACGCCGTCCAAAGAGCTTAATGATGATTGAGTAACACCATGGTTCGTATAATCTGTTTTTGTCTTCGTAGGAGAGTATGATTGGGCCTGTTGTTTCCTTACCTTTTTGTTGGGTCATTGGGTTTTCAATCTCAGGAACAAAGTAGTCTGCTTCAGAGATATCTTGTTTATCTAGGAGCATTTCTTTGTATGAATGTAGTCGGGGAGTGTCCTCCTCCATTTTGTTGGCATCCGGTGGTTCCGGTGGTATGTTTGGTATTTTGGGTGGGTTGTCCATTGGATTGTTCTAGTGATGGATGAGAGTTTCTCTCTCTATATTGATACAGTTAACTAAGTTTTTTTGAGCAACTCCAATTCGTACATGTCCTATTCCCATGACTTCATCTTATCCTTACTCTACTATTGATTCCTCCTTTTCTTTTCTTCTTAGAATCTTTTTTTTACTGATTATTTATGGATAAAATTAAGACAAAATTTATGGTTATCTGATGGGAATAAGGAGAAGAATGAGAGGGGTCTATTTTGCTTACCTCCATTATTGAAGCGGTCAATTATGAAAAAAGAGGGAAGCCACCAGCGGGTTATAGGGACTTAGGTGGGTTGGTTTACAAGAAAATGTGTGGGTTTTAATTTTGTTTATAAGAAATACATATGGCAAGCTTAAAAAACGCCACATGGATATTTTAAAGTGCCAAAATTTACCATCCATGTTCGGTTAGTTTCAAGGGTATATGTGACCAAAAATAAAGCGTTAAGGGTATTTTTAGACCAAAAGGTTAACAGAGGACATTTGTGAGCCATTTTTAATACGGTAGGGATATTTTTGGCCCTTTTTCATTTTTTTTTAAAAGTGAGGGCTTTTGGTACATGTCAACTAGTTAACAAACTTTAGCTTTCAGATCCAAAAGGAGTTACGGATAAAAAGTCCAATCAGTATAACTAGGGAAATCCTGTCGAATTCCAGAAACCGCAATATCGAAAAAATACACCCGACTCTAGATAAAACATAACAAAAATTGAAACCTAGAAGGGCTGTGCCGACAATAGGAATAGATAATAGATAATATCAGTAATTGCAAAAATTATACTTCTAAATGTGAGTTCCTGTTGTTTTTTTCAAAGTTTCCGTTAAATCTAACCACAAAAATCGTTAAATGTATGATGAGACTAAAAGTGCTTACTTGTTGCAAATATAAAGACCAAAACCACTCAAAATTATTCTTAAGAGACTATTTTAAACCTACCCAAAAAATAAAGGACCATTTGTCATTTTCTCGTACACATCGACTAGGGTTTTAGCTGGAGGTATATCAATTAGCTTCGCAGCAGCAATTGTTCCTCTCATTAGCTACTTCTCTTTCCCCACTCCCCACTCCCCCTCACTCGCGGCCGCCGCCGGAGTTTCATCAAGGAGCAACAATGGTAAGGCTCACAAATCCGCGCTTTTTCGATAAACTCCGTTTTTCCTTTACACCTTTTTCGATGATTTGTTATCTAAGTTGGTAGCCGATATTTGGAAGAGAAAAGCAGAGTGTGCTACATTTTTGTTTTAGGATAATAAATTGTATTCTTCTTCATCATAACTCTATAACTTAACGGTTTATACTAGCTTTATAGCCTACGCTGTAACTTTTTACAGTTTCTAGGAGTAGCATCAGTACATCATAGTAGTGTTTGCTTATTTACAACTAAAATAACATATACAACTACGCTTCAGTCCAAACAAGTTTTGGGTTATATATTCTGCTATACTACTTCTAAAAAATAATACATTCTATTTGGGCTGCTTTTTTTTTTCCCAATGTTCAGGAGGTAAAACTAGAGATTTACTAAATTTCACACTTATTATTACACACTTATGTACAAATGTGTAAAGATGTTGTTTTGATTAGTAAGGTATTGGTCTCTACGTGCGATTGTATTGACATTTAGATTTGGATTAATATGTAAATCTCATTTTTTCACTTCTTTTGGTTTCAATGAGAACTTCAAATATGATCTTTAATGATGTTTTGTTTGCCTCTGTTGGTTTGGGACGAATCAATGCTAAATGCTATTATTTCAACTCTATTACCTAGAAAAAGTAGACAGGCCTATAAAAAGTACAAATGTTGCTCAATCCAAAACTTGTTGGGATCGAAGATGAATCCTCAATATTTATACCGTTTTATCTGGACTCAAAAACAAATACTTAATCATTTGTCTTTCAAAACCAATTAAGGTTTCTCTAGCTGTAAATCTCTAAGCAAACTAAAATGACTCTTAAAAAGCACCAGACGAAATGTGATTGTACCAACACAACAAAAGCTTCTCTTTGAAGTGTGCTTCTTCAAATGGATGCTTGGTGAAGTTGGAACTTTGATTTTAAATTATGATCTGATGCAGTTCTTGTGCTTGACACAGTTTTTTTTTTATGTTGCAGGCCTTCATCAAAGTCCAGAAGACAAGGGCTTATTTCAAGCGTTTCCAGGTTAAATTCAAGAGAAGGAGAGGTGCAGCTTATATTGTCTTCATCCCTTTTGTTCTGTTCTCAAATTTGCAATTCATGACTCACCATTTTCTAATTTTTTTACCATGCAGAGGGGAAAACCGACTACAGAGCGAGGAACAGGTTGATCAATCAGGACAAAAATAAGTACAACACTCCAAAATATCGTTTGGTTGTCCGATTTGTATCCTAATACTTTTGATTTACTTTAAAAATTACTTAATGTGATGGCTTCCTCCTGTTTTTTTTTTTTTTTGATATGTATTATCCATTTACTATTACATGGTTGGTTCATGAAATTGTCACAGCGAGTGTGCATCACATGTCCTTTGCTTTGCTTCCTTAACATTTTCTCTAGACTAACAAGGACATAATTGCACAAATTGTGTCGGCTAGTATTGCTGGTGACATGATTCTTGCCTCTGCTTATGCTAATGAGCTGCCTCGTTATGGCCTTGAAGTTGGACTGACAAATTATGCTGCTGGTACTTCCACACAATCTATTCTATTTTGTTTGGTTATCTCATTTGAAATTGTGTAGTTCTTAATTTCTTATTGAACTATTAACTCATTTACATTCATTTTAGCCTACTGTACTGGACTTCTTTTGGCACGACGAGTTCTCAAAAAGCTTGAAATGGACGAGGAGTATCAAGGGAACCTTGAGGTAATTGCAGACGTATTGTAGTGTTATGGGCCTTTTGTCCTTCTATAGGGGGCTTTTATTTGTTAACTGGTATTTCAATATTTTACAGGCCAATGGGGAGGATTACTCTGTTGAACCTGCTGAAAGCAGGAGGCCTTTCCGTGCTCTCTTGGATGTTGGCCTTATAAGGACTACTACAGGAAATCGTGTCTTTGGTGCTCTCAAGGTATAATCCTGCTTTTGCTATGGTGCTGTATCACTTAGTCTCTGTCTAAACTGCATTGCAAAATTTCTACTCTCTCCATTATATATCATGTTGATGTTTGACTGGGCATGGAGATTTAAGAAATAAAGAAATATTTTTTACACTTAAGCTAATGAGTTAAAACATACAAAAGTATCCTTATCTGGCATGCCGCATGCAACATACCATGTCACTCCAATAAGATCATGCCATTAAGGGTAATATGGAAACCTTAACATTAAAGAGTTTCCAAATATAGAAATGTATCAATCTTTTTGGAATATACTTTGTAACAGATACTTTGATTATTTTTTGTGAACCTTTTAATGAATAGTAGCCACTAGCTTAACTCTCGAAGAATATGGTGTTATGAAACCCTGATTGCAATTGTCCGAGAATGCAAAGATTGGTACTTTCTGACTATTATAATGTGGAGTTTTGAATTTAAGTGAGTCCCTCCCTCCTTGCTGTCAAATTTGTCTGTTTCTTTTCTCTTTTGAGATTTGAGATGTACTATTCATGCCATGTGACCGTTTGTTTTAAGATGGATTATTCATGCCATATGATCTTTCATATGTTCTTTAAATAAATGCAATTCTTTGCTTGGTGGATTCAGGGTGCGTTGGATGGTGGACTTGATATCCCTCACAGTGAGAAGAGGTTTGCTGGATTCAGCAAGGATTCTAAGCAACTTGATGCTGATGTTCACCGCAACTACATTTATGGTGGTCATGTTGCTACGTACATGAAGGTGAAATAGAATGGCTATACAGACTCCTATTTTAGTTTATTATAATCATCAAATCCATGCAAATGCTCAGTGGAGTGTTATGTTGTTTATCTTACTACATCTAGGTGAGCATAGTGCCTATTATGCTAAACCTCTTCCCTCTGTTTATAGACTCTGATCGAAGATGAACCTGAGAAGTATCAGTCACACTTTAGTGAGTACATCAAGAAGGGTCTTGAGGCTGATCACCTCGAGGAGATGTACAAGAAAGTTCATGCTGCCATACGCGCTGATCCTACCTTCAAGAAGTCAGACAAACAGCCTCCCAAGCAGCACAAGAGGTCTAACATCTTCTTTAGTTTGATTAACTCATTATCAGCTTTTATGTGCTTCCTGTTTCTATTAATTTTTTTTATATATTCATGCATTTGTATGGTCAAAGTTGACAAGCACTTTACTCTTATGGTTGAAGGATCTCCAATTCCTATTTCTCGTTGAAATATGGAATTTATTTTATGTTTGCCTGGATAGTCTTTATTTCTAGAGTGCCATGTAAAAAATGTGGCATATGTGCTGATCATTCCAATTATATGCTATCTTTCTGCATATTCACTTTTGGATACTTTTTGCAGGTACAATCTAAAGAAGCTAACTTATGAGGAAAGGAAGGCTAAGTTGATCGAGAGGCTGAACGCCTTGAATTCAGCTGCTGGAAATGACGACGACGATGATGAGGATGACGAGTAAAGTGCAGTACAAGAATCCTGAAATATTGTTGCTTATGTTTTTATCATACTGTGTTTTTGCTTCTTTATTGATATCTCAGTTTTGCATGCTCAGTAGAATGAGAATTCACCAGTTAGACAATTTACAAGATTGTAGTGCGTGTATTCCAAATTCAACAAAGAACTTTTTTCCCCTTATCATCCTTGCAGCACGTGGGCTACTATGGCTGTCTTAGTTTTTATCCAAGTTGTATTGATTCCCCATAACCAGGACAGGCACTGCAGTCAACTTCTATGCACTCTCTACCAGTCCACTGAATCTGCGGACCAACTTTAGCTACTTGATTATACTGAACCAATATATGCAAGGCATGTGATTTTCATATGCACAATTATTATTTGATTATGGTCAAGTGATGCTTTTTCACCTTTTTTAAAAGGTGAAACTGCATAATTTAGTGGACATTGGTGTAAGTTTTACTCTTTTCTCCCCACAACATTTTCCTCATCCTTGTATATCCCCTTCCATATTACGTGGGACCTCAAATTACTATCCAGTTGCAGGGCTACAGCCCCAAAACCTATGGCATAACCAGGGAAAGATCATAGTTTGTGCTTACCAACAAAGTGGCAAAATATCTGGTAAACTATGAGCACCTATATCATCATTAACGTCCTATATTCTTGTGACAGCTCAAACACACCAAGCTAGTAATTGAGTTTTAGGTGCATACTTGTGGGATTAAGAAGCTATGTAATTCTTTATTTACTAGCCCTATATAAAAAAGGGCATCTCGGTGCACCAAGTATCCTGTATTCACGCGGGTTAACTTTACCATTATTTCAACTTCCAAGGATCCCCTTCATTTATTAGCTGAAAAAAATCAAACTAGGTGGTCAAGCAAACTATGTATCAACATATTCAATCTTGTGGATATGCCCACCTTTTCTTGGCGAAATAGTTAACTACTTTTTAACTGTGTTAATTAGAATGAAGAAATTTGGAGTTCGAGAATCAAACCTTCTAGTGTTTGGCCCCAATTCGGATATTGATATTTTATATTTTCTAAATAAAATTCACATTATTCGAAATTAGATGAAGAAAATTAGAAATCAATTTTTTTTACAATAAACAAAATATACTTAAAATGGGGTATATGATAAATTTGTAGCAAAAGAGGAGTTATTTGACATTTCAAATAGTTGTTAATAAGAGCATCATATAAATTGGACCGGCGGGAGTATTAAACGATCTGTTACCCGCCAAAGCATGATTTCAAAAGTTCATTGCCCTGCACTTAAAACACTTGCAGTAGCAAATCAAATGCACCCAAACTACAGGAAAACCTTTTCCCATATATTCCAAGAATGTGCAAAACAATGCACCCAGGAACCAGGCAAGCAAGCCCATGCTCGGATGATAATATCTGGGTTTCAACCCACTATTTTTGTCACTAATTGTTTGATTCAGATGTACATAAAATGCTCCAATTTGGGTTATGCTGATAAAGTGTTTGATAAAATGCCTCTTAGAGATACAGTTTCTTGGAACGCCATGATTTTTGGGTATTCTATGGTTAGTGATATGGAGAAGGCAAAATTGATGTTTGATTTGATGCCTGAAAGAGATGTAATTTCTTGGAATTCTATCATCTCGGGGCATTTGCAAAATGGTAATTATCAGAAATCAATTCGAGCTTTTATGGAAATGGGAAGAGATCGTATTGCTTTTGATAGAACAACTTTTGCTGTTGTTCTGAAAGCTTGTTCGGGTCTGGAAGATTCTAAGTTAGGGGTCCAGGTGCATGGGGTGGTGATCAAGCTGGGTCTTGCTACTGATGTGGTGACAGGGAGCTCAATGGTGGATATGTATTCGAAATGCAAGAGGTTACATGAGTCGAGATGTTTCTTCAATGAGATGCCTGAAAAGAACTGGGTTTCTTGGAGCGCTTTGATTGCAGGCTGTGTTCAAAATAATGAGTTTGCTAATGGATTACAGCTCTTCAAGAAGATGCAAAAAGAAGGGGTAGGGGTGAGTCAATCTACTTATGCTAGTCTCTTCAGGTCTTGTGCCGGGTTATCTGACTTAAAATTGGGGTCTCAATTGCATGGTCATGCATTGAAAACTGATTTTGGATGCGATGTCATTGTAGCGACTGCCACATTGGACATGTATGCCAAATCTAACAGTCTGTCTGATGCTAGGAAGGTATTCAACTTGTTGCCAAGTCATAACTTGCAATCTTATAATGCCTTGATCGTTGGGTTTGCTCGAGGTGATCAAGGATATGAAGCTGTATTACTATTCAAGCGTTTGCTGAAGTCTTATCTTGGGTTTGATGAAATAAGCCTATCTGGTGCATTTAGTGCCTGTGCAGTTTTCAAAGGTCATTTAGAGGGAATGCAGCTACATGGGGTAGCTTGTAAGACTCCCTTTTGTTCGAATGTATGTGTTGCAAATGCCATTATGGACATGTATGGCAAATGTAAAGCACCACGTGAAGCTCGACGTCTGTTTGACGAAATGGAAAAAAGAGATGCAGTGTCTTGGAATGCAATAATTGCAGCTCACGAGCAGAATGGACATGAGGATGAAACTTTGACACTATTTTTTCGGATGCTTCAGGCAAGGATGGAACCAGATGAATTCACTTATGGTAGTGTTTTAAAGGCCTGTGCAGCTCGTCAAGATTTGAACATTGGCATGGTGATTCACAATAGAATCATAAAATCGGGGATGGGGTTGGAGTGCTTCATTGGGAGTGCTGTAATCGATATGTACTGCAAATGTGAAAAGGTAGAAGAGGCAGAGAAACTTCATGAGAGAATGGAGGAACAGACAATTGTTTCTTGGAATGCAATCATATCGGGCTTCTCCTTGCGTAAACAAAGTGAGGAATCTCAGAAATTCTTCTCTAAAATGCTGGAAGAGGGAATAAAACCTGATAACTTTACCTATGCAACCGTTCTTGATACTTGTGCCAATCTAGCTACTGTTGGGCTAGGAAAGCAAATTCATGCTCAAATTATAAAGCAAGAATTGCAATCGGATGTGTTTATAACTAGCACTCTCGTTGACATGTACTCGAAGTGTGGAAACATGCAGGATTCCAGATTGATGTTTGAAAAAGCACCAAAAAAGGATTTTGTCACATGGAATGCTATGGTTTGTGGCTATGCACAACATGGTCTTGGAGACGAGGCTTTGCAGATCTTTGAAAAGATGCAGCTTGAGGATGTAAGACCAAATCATGCAACTTTTCTTGCAGTCCTAAGAGCTTGTGCACATATTGGGCTTGTTGAAAAAGGTCTGCAACACTTCAATTCAATGTCGAATAACTATGGATTAGATCCTCAATTGGAACACTACTCATGTATGGTTGACATACTAGGGAGGGCGGGCCAAATTAGCGAAGCTCTGAAGCTTATTCAAGACATGCCTATTGAGGCTGATGATGTCATCTGGAGAACTCTACTTAGTATGTGTAAGATGCACGGTAATGTGGAGGTAGCAGAAAAAGCAGCAAAGTTTCTCTTGCAATTGGACCCTGAGGACTCATCTTCTCATATACTTTTGTCAAATATTTATGCTGATGCAGGAATGTGGAAAGAAGTTGCCGAAATGAGGAAAGTGATGAGGTATGGTGGGCTAAAAAAAGAGCCAGGTTGTAGCTGGATTGAGATCAAGTCTGTGCTACACATGTTTCTTGTTGGGGACAAAGCCCATCCAAGATGCAAAGAGATATATGAAAACCTTGACGCACTGATATATGAAATGAAGCGAGCTTCTCATATACTAGATGATGAATTTTTGCTCAGCTGTGAGGCCACAGAAGATGAGCATCAATACCTGTTTCAAGAATGTGCAGTTTCTTGTTTCTAGACCAATTTCGATTGGGAACCTAAATCTGGTTGTGATGGCGGTACGCAAGGAAAGAAGCTTCTCTCAGGTTGATCCAAGCAACAGATTGGGCCAGATTGGGGATAGTCAAGACTGATATTACACGTGCTGGACCCCATAAGAGGAAGAAGTATCTATTTATTGGACAATCCTTGGACTTCACTAGAATATCTTCAGGCCTCAACCAAATTATGCGCACACCCCGTGGAGAACACGAAGGAAAATTTAAGATTGAGAAAATTGTGTTCCAGATTTGTTCACCTACAAGATGTGTGAATAACTCTATGCCAGTTCGGCAGTTCCAAAGGAATGCTTCAAAAGACAATTTGTAGAAACCGTAAGATGGTTGGGATGGCAGTCTTGGTCTTTCAACTACATTATTTATCTGAGGAATTTCAGTCTCCTGATTCTCTGAGAATCTTTATATGCCATCAATGGATAAGCTTGACATTCAATATTACATTCATGATGAAAAGAAAGCGAGTCTAAGTGGGACTAATTGTCTTCAGATTGAAAAATAAGACAAGAATAACCAAAGCCAGAGAAAGGGGG